TATACCATCTAGTATTTCTTTAACATACATTTCTAGAAATAAAATGTTGGCTTAAAATTGTTCATTTAAATGAGTTTTTGCCAAATGGCCTCCTAAAACCATCTTGCTAATTTATCAGGTTCCCAGAGTCCTTGTCAAAACTTTTTAAAATGTGGCTGTTAAATGAATGAAATTATTTCATTGATTGAATTTGCATTTCCCTAATTTCTACTAAAATGGAATACTTTCATATTTATTGGCCATTTATATTTGTTCAGTGAATTACCTCTTCCTATCTTTTGCCTATTTTTCTTCCTATTGCTTATAATGATTAAGTACTCTTCAAATGCTTCTTGTAAAAACTTTCTTCTAGTACATCACTTGTCTCTTAACCTAATGAGATCTTCTTTTATATTTTGGTGAGAAAGATTGACCTGAGCTAACATTGGTTGCCAATATTCCTCTTTTTTTGCTTGAGGAAGATTGTTGCTGAGCTAACATCTGTGCCAATCTTCATTTTGTATGTGGGAGGCCACTCAGGATGGCTTGATAAGTGGTGTGTAGGTCTGCACCCAGGATCCAAACCCGTGAACCCCGGGCCACTGAAGAACGTGCGAACTTAATCACTACACCACCGGGCTGGCCCCCTTAATGGCATCTTTTGACCTAAGTAATTTTTAATGTCAGATTTGTTAACTTTTCCCTTGTAGCTTCTAGATTTTGTTATGCTTGGAAGGACTTCCCCCTACTATTAGCTAAGAATTTGATTAATGAATAGTTTTTTTCAGTGAGTAGGTCAGGATCCACCTGCATCAGAATTGTCTAAATCTGCACTATTCACTTTGGTAATCACCAGCCATATGGGGTTACTTAAATTTAGTAAAATTAAAAAGAAATCCAGTTTCTCAGTGGCATTAGCCCCATTTCATATCTTCAACAGCTCTATTTGGTTGGTAGCTGCTGTGTCAGACAATGGAGATACAGAACATTTCCTTCATCACAAAGTCACAGTGGACGGGGCTGATACCACAGCAGAACCAACTGACTCATAATCTGCAGTTTAGATCTAGAACAGTGGTTGTCAAACTTTGGCACACATCAGAATCACCTAGAGGGCTTAAAACAGATCACTGGACTCTACTCTCAAGTGTCTGATTCACTAGTCTGTCTGGGGGCCCAGAATTTATATTTCTAACAAGTTCCTAGGTGAGACTGATGCTGCTAGTCTAGGGACCACATTTTAGAAATCACTGATCTCAAGTGTCACTTAAATTGCGAACTCCTGGGCCTCACATGAAACTTACTAAAGCCTAGCTCAGGGCTGGGACCTAGGAATCCACATTATCAGAGCGCCGCACGATTTTGACAGTTTGAGAACCACCAGGTTCAAAATGGGCCACAGGGCTATAGAAATAGGGAAAGAGGGGCCAGCCCAGTAGCATAGTGGTTAAGTTCACATGCTCCACTTCGGTGGCTGGGGTTTGCAGGTTCATATCCTGAGTGTGGACCTACAAACCGCTCATCAAGCCATGCTGTAGCAGAGTCCCACACACAAAATACAGGAAGACTGGCAACAGATGTTAGCTCAAGGCCAGTCTCCCTCACCAAAAAAAAAAAAAAAAAAAAAAGGGAAAGAACTAGAGCTACAAGAGTAGTTGTGAGAACAGAGAAAGAACAAGGATTCAGGGACAGGTATACTCCTTATGGGGACTATTAGTCATAGCAGAAGCTTTACATTTCACTCTCCTGAACTTGTGATCACGATAAGATCCAGCCATCAGAATGGGATGCAAAATAGAGTATGGAAGGGAAGGTCATTGGATTTGAATCTAAGAAATTTAGGCTAGAGTTCTGGATAGGTTCTTCACATACACAATGAAAATTATCCAGGCTGACAATATAACGTTAAAAGCAAAGCAAGACTGGCAGTTTCTTAAATAAGTTGTCACCAAACCCCCATTTGACCACCTACGTATCTCTGGAATCTGTCTCTCCAGGTCTCACTGCAAAGTGCACCCCTTTGCCTTTTACCATTTGAATTACTGCACTAACTTGTTTTCTTCCCTCCAGACCCACTCACAAAACATAACCCATACTATGGCATTTCTGAAATATATTCATTCATAAAGTATTTACTGAGTCTTCACCACGTCAGGTGCTGTCCTAAGGGCAGGAGATTTAGTGGCGATATGTACATCCTTCACTCTTCTGCTAAGACATACAACTAATAATCAAGTATGTTTAAAAGAAGTCCACAGAACTGAAAAGCATATACGATAAAAAAAAAATTTAAGGGGCCAGCCTGGTGGCGCAGCAGCTAAGTTCGCATGTTCTGCTTCGGCGGCCCAGGGTTCACCGGTTCAGATACCAGGTGTGGACACAGCACCGCCTGGCAGGCCATGCTGTGGTAGGCGTCCCACATATAAAGTAGAGGAAGATGGGCATGGATGTTAGCTCAGGGGCAGTCTTCCTCAGCAAAAAGAGGAGGATTGGCAGCAGATGTTAGCTCAGGGCTAACCTTCCTCAAAAAAAGAAGAAGAAAAAAAAAAATATATATATATATATACACACACACACAACTATGTACTGGGGGGCTTTGGGGAGAAAAAGGAAAAATAACAATTTAAAATAAATAATAATTAAAAAAACGCAAAATGAGGGCCGTCCTGGTGGCACAGCAGTTAAGTGCACACGTTCCGCTTCGGAGGTCAGGGGTTTGCCAGTTCAGATCCTGGGTGCGGACATGGCACCGTTTGGCACATGTAGAGGAAGATGGGCACCGATGTTAGCTCAGGGCCAGTCTTCCTCAGGAAAAATCAGGGGATTGGCAGCAGTTAGCTCAGGGCTAATCTTCCTCAAAAAAAACCCCAAAATGGACAAAACTATAAATAGACACTACCCCCCATTCAAACAAAAACTCACCCAAGTGATCCTCTCCCCAACTAAGTCTTTAAAGCAATAGTAATTAGAGTTCAGATTTGAGATACAGAGCCAAACAGCTCTCCTGAAGCTTCTGGCCTGTCGTTTCATCTTTCAGCATGAAATACTCAAGTTAGAGGGACCAGGTATCATGCACAAGGTTTACAACCTGACTGAGCAATAAGGGTTAATGAAATCTCATTCAAGTGTTTGAAAACAAGATAGATTTTAAAAGCTGTAAGGACTTCAGCAGACAGGATGGAATGAGAAACCTATCAAGCTATACTTAATGCTATGGCCTAACAGCTGGCAGTAAGCCACTGAATTCTTAAGGAATCTTTAACTTCCAGAACTTGCATATAAAAAGTTTTTCACAAGAATGGAACTAAAACTATGAGGGTTTTTGAACTTTTTAAAGTTTTCCCCTGAAGCTAAGAACTACACCACTTATCAGTAGTACTGATACCTTTGGCATGCTCCAGAGAAACGAGACCAAGTTTAAAATAATTTTTTAAAAGTACAGAAGTTCATGGGGGCCAGCCAAGTGGCATGGTGGTTAAGTTCATGCACTCTGCTTCAGGAACCCAGGGTTCACTGGTTTGGATCCTGGTGTGGACCTGCACATTGCTCATCAAGCCATGCTGTGCCAGAGTCCCACATACAAAATAGAGGAAGACTGGCAAGAGATGTTAGCTCAGGGACAATTTTCTTCACAAAAAAGGGCAAAAGAAAAAAGTACATAAGTTCAAACACACTTCCCAATGTGGAAAGACCTAGGGCTTTGAGGAAATTGCATTCCTTTAACAGGACCAGAACCCAAATTAATCTTCTCTAATATTAACAAAACAGTTGAATGGCATGTGTTGTTATGCCCAGGGCCCCAGGAAGGTAGGAAGATTTTCTAGTTGTAGCATAAGAAAATGGTCTTGAATATCATTCTGAAGAGTCATATACTTAACAGTGGAAGGAAAAAAGGTTGTTTTCCCTTCTAAATACCCGTAATACTCTATGCATATCTATTACTGCATTTCCTCCATCTATCAAGTTTTTGTTCAATGTCTGTCCCCTGGCCTAGCCTGTGAGCTCCCTGGGCAGAGCAATTACCTGAAGGATTAATCTTTGTATCCCTCACACGTAAGACTGCCTGTTAACACAGGTCCTTAATGTCTGACATAAAGAAGTACTGAAATAGCAAGCATTTTTATGCTAAGACAAACACCTGTAAATTGGAAGGAATAAAAACTGCCAAAATGCAGAAGCTCAAAGATTTAGAGGAGGACAACACATTTAGTTTTATTTCAATCAAATCACAACACTTTCTTTTCCAACTGCTGCAAAGTGCATCTACAATTTTGTATTACAGATCCACTTTTAAAAGGTTTCCTGTAACATTACAGCAAGCCTCTTTTTTTCAAACAGAGGAATATTCCCAAACTCTTCCTCAAGTAAAAATAAAAACTCCATTCCAGTAAATGGTAATACATGAAATTACAGTAAACCAGACACTTAAAAGGACAGCCAAAAAGTCTTCCAACAGTTTATTAGAAAGAATGTAGACATTTAAAAAAAAATCCCCACTGTCATGAACATAAATTGAGGTTTTCAGCCGCAGTACAAGCTGAATCAAAGAAAGAAATAAAAAATCCAATAGTGTATTAACATTTTTTTCGCTCACTTGCCATACTGACAGTGCAAATACAAATTTGGTCTAAATGTACAGACTCTTCAAGCAACAATATACAGCCTTTCTTTGTCCTCCACGCTAAGAGATGTAAAAGTTTAAGGGTCAAACAATACCAAATGTACAGGCTTCAAAAACCATCTAAGTTAGGGCATTCACTAATTTTAGCTAAGATACATCTGGAACACTGACAAGTGATCACTTACATACAATAATGTGAAGTAAATTTTTTGAAAAATAAAACTTTAGTGGAACAATCCTTAAGGATATACCAGAGGAACAATAGGTTACCAGTTTAAAGTATCAACCAATTTGTTTCAGCCACTTTGAGTCCACGTTCTAAAATCTAAAATTTAGTTATCCTTCCCTAAGCCAAGAGCTTCCTATCATGTCAGTATCTATGTTATGAAGTAAAGGAGACTTAGGTGAAATGTTTTTATTTATCACAACTGCTGTATCAATTGCCTAGGACCTCAACAGCATCATGAAAGTCTGGGAAATGTTCATGCATAAGGTTATTGCCTTAGCTGACTTAAAAGTGCCCCATACAATGGTACATTATCAACCCTTACTGAAGCCTTTAAAAAAACAAACAGGTTGAAAAATGGGTTAAAGGAGGCAAATACAGCATCTGCCTTTAGAGCTATCAACTCAGGAATTCTCTCAATTATGAAATCTTGCAGAGAAGTTATTTTTCTTTCTCAAAATCCGGTGATGGTAACATTCCTTACTCCAGATCAGGCATTTCTGAAAGGGTATTAAAAAGATTAGTATCAAGTATAAGAGAATAATCTACCAAAACTTCAAAGTTTTACAGGAAAAGCAGTCAACAATAGAGTTAAACAAACAGTTTCTAGCAAATTAATAGGTTGTCTTTTTTTGAATTTCAATCTCGAATCATTCAAATTTCTGTTTTGGTTATTTATTAGAGACCATAAAGAAATAATCATTTTTCTTCCAAGAACTGTAAAGAAATTAACTTCTCTACTTTGAGAGTTTGGTCTATGATGTGAAACATCACTGTGCAAACATACTTTTTACAAAGACACTTACTTTCGTCATCACTGTCTTGTGAATCCTGCAAAGGGGAAATAAAATATGTTACGAAGTTGATCAAATATTCCTCTGCTAACTGAATAGTTTGTCTAAAAAAGCTGAAGCACTATACTTTTGACTAAGGTAGCAAAGATATGTAGTTATATCAAGTCTATGAATTTAATCAATGGACTTAAGAACACGTTTACATATGGTGAACTGATGTACAGCTGAGGATCTATCTTCCTGTACGATGTGTGCCTTCTGGTGGGAACTGAGCCCACCCTTTAAATCCCTTCCTATCCAACCAGACTGAATCTTGTATAAAATGGTTTCTCTTTTCTTGGCATTCAATGGAAGAGAAAAATGGCTCAATATTAAGAACACTGGGCTGACAGAAGACAATGAACTCTAATCCTGGCTGTTGAACTGTCAAAAAGTATCTTCCAACTTGTATTGAAAACTTTCTTAAAGATGTTAACAGGATGCCAGAGGGGGGAATGTTGAGAAGAGGGGTCCAGTATATCCTACTCCTATAGATTTCACCATGTCCATCTGTTTACTATAGTCTCTGACCAATCCTGCTGTAAAAACCTGTTTAACTTTGTCAAAATAATCTCCAAATGAACTCTTGACTGAATAATGTGTGTGATGCCTCTATGCAATGACTCTTGAAATCTGGTCCCTTTAAGAATAATCCGTGGGACACCAATTTCCTAATAGGTACCTGTCCCTAAAAAAATGGGCACATTTAAGAAATTCCTTTTCTTTGTATTTTTTAGGGAAAAAACCAACAATAAGTGGCAAAAAAAAAAAAAAGCAATCTTGAATCTATAGAAAACAACCTGTAAATACATTGTTTCTTACTATTTAAGTAAACAGAGAAAAGAATTTGTAGACTTACATCATCTGCTCCATCTACTTCTGGTAAATCTACATCCTCATCACCACCCATGTTGTTCATCATCTATTTGAAGTGTAAAAATTAGTTTTAAAAATGATGTTAAATTAAGCCCTAATTATTAGGTTGCACGCTCCAGAATAAACCTTAAACCTGTCATAGATTTCCACCAATGAAAAAAGCAAAACAAATGTTTTAAGTACCTTCCTTTCTGGAAAAGGTAGATTATAGGTAACGACATAAAATCCTGAAAACTTGTAGGGAAGATAAGACTAAGTTCTCATCAAAGAAAAATGAAGTTATTAAAATTCATCCAGTAAAGTGTCTATATATCATGTAGAAATTAATCACCCAAATCCTGAATAGGAGTTACCTCTGGTGGCTAAGGAGAAGAATGAGATTTATCTGTAGTTGTAGTTTTGTATTTTAAGCTAAGAGGCATGTGTATTACAGCAGTCTCACTAGAGTTTTAAATATTTTGAAGAACCAGTAAGTGATTTAAAACAAAGTTCTTCTGGATGATTTGTATAAAAGGCCTGAATATTGAATCAAAGGCTAAACAGCAGTAACTAAAAACAGAAAACGGGCTGGCCTGGCGGCGGGAACCGGTTAGTTCATGTGCTCTGCTTGGGCAACCTGGGGTTCACATATTCGGATCCTGGGCAAGGACCTGCGCACTGCTTATTAAGTCATGCTGTGGTAGGCGTCCCACATATAATGTAAGGAAGATGGGCACAGACATTAGCTCAGGGCCAGTCTTCCTCAAAAACAAAAACAGAAGCGGCTGGCCCTGTGGCCGAGTGGTTAAGTTCAAGTGCTAAGCTTTGGCAGCCCAGGATTTCACTGGTTTGGATTCTGGGCGCAGACAAAGCATCAATCATCAAGCCAGGCTGAGGCAGCGTCCCACACGCTACAACTAGAAAGACCCACAACTAAAATATACAACTATGTACTGGGGGGCTTTGGGGAGAAGAAGGAAATTAAATAAATAAATAAAATCTTGGGGCCAGCCCGGTGGTGCAGCGGTTGAGTGCACACATTCCACTTCTCGGCAGCCCAGGGTTCACTGGTTCAGATCCCGGATGCGGACATGGCACCGCTTGGCAAGCCATGCTGTGGTAGGCATCCCACATACAAAGCAGAGGAAGATGGGCACGGATGTTAGCTCAGGGCCAGTCTTCCTCAGCAAAAGGAGGAGGATGGCAGCAGATGTTACATGTTACTTCAGGGCCAATTTTCCTCAATAAATAAATAAAAATTAAAAAAAAAAAAAGAAACATTAATTCTTAAAAGAAAAGGTACATAGGGGCTGGCCCCGTGGCCGAGTGGTTAAGTTCACGCGCTCTGCTGCAGCAGCCCAGGGTTTCGCCAGTTTGAATCCTGGGTGCGGACATGGCACCGCTTGTCAGGCCATGCTGAGGCAGTGTCTCACATGCCACAACTGGAAGGACCCACAAATATGTACTGGGGGGCTTTGGGGAGAAAAAGAAAAAAAAAAAAAGGTACACAGTGTGGAAAATACCCTCATATATGTAAACACTCTTATAAGCTTACAGTAAACTGGGACTAACAACAAAGCGTACTTACATGAAGTAACTAATTTCCCATCTTTATTGTTTGATCATAAAGTAGTGTATTCTTTAAACAGGTACAAATAACCAAAGACTGAACAACTATTATCAGATGGGGAAGGACTTATCTCCCCAAGTTAACAACTTTTCTATAACAGTTAAATTTTTTAAAATTTAAAATATGTACATAACCATGCAAAATTTCATAAACAAAAATCAAAGTCTTCAAAGATAGACGTTTACTTGAACTTTAGAGTTAGAAGGGGCCTTACAAAGATACCTAGTCAAATCTCTCCGTATAAAAATTCTGGGCAATCTAGTCTTTTTTTTTTCTTTGACTGGCACCTGAGCTAACAACTGTTACCAATCTTTTTTTTCTTTCTTTTTTTTTAATTGCTTTTTCTCTCCAAATCACCCCAGTACATAGTTGTATATTTTAGTTGTGGGTCCTTCTAGTTGTGGCATGTGGGTTGCCACCTCAACATAGCCCGATGAGCCGTGCCATCTCTGCGCCAGGATCTGAACTGGCAAAACCCTGGGCCGCCACAGCAGAGCACGTGAACTTAACACCTGGCCACGGGGCCAGCCCCTGGGCAATCTAGTCTTGAATAATATGAGTAACAAAGCATTTCCCTGCATCTCAAGATGCTGTTGAACACTTCCATTAAATTTCTTTGAGCAGGAAAAATGCTCAAAAAATGTGCCAAGCACAATGCTAGCAGCTCAGGATACAATGGTAATAGAGAATTGAATATATTCAAGAACTATTTAGGAGGTAAAAAAAACCCAAACAAACAGAAAAACAGGGCCAGCCCAGTGGCGCAACGGTTAAGTGAGCACGTTCCACTTTGGTGGCCCAGGGTTCACTGGTTTAGATGCCAGGCGCGGACACGGCACCACTTGGCAAGCCATGCTATGGTAGGCATCCCACATATAAAGCAGACGAAGATGGGCACGGACGTTAGCTCAATGCCAGCCTTCCTCAGCAAAAAGAGGAGGATTGGCAGCAGATGTTAGTTTACGGCTGCTCTTCCTCAAAACAAACAAACAAACAATAAGCACAACAAAACACAGAGCAACAAAGATAGCAGTTAATGTTCTACTGGATAGAGACAGAGTGAAAGAGAACAATGTTAAGAAGTTGTGAATCATACAGCTGAGTAAATAGTGGCTCAATTACTACAGGTAAGGAATAGCATAGTTGAGGAGAATCACATGAATACCATTATCCTCCCTTCTCTCTTTTGAAATCAAGATGCCAGAGCCATGTAAAGAGAGATGCTAAGTAAGCAGTTGTATACAAGAAGCCGGAAACTTACTCCTTGATCTCTTAGTTTTCGAAGAAGAAATATAAACCAAGTCCAGTCAATTAAAATTTCAAATTGCAATGAGAAACAGATTTCATGGGAATACCTTCAACTTACAACCTAATATTCTCTTTTCTGGTCAGCTTTACTGCAGTACATTTGATAAGGTCTATTCCACCTAAAGGGAGATCAATGATTTTTTGCCTTTGGCCATGGTAATATGTATTTGGGTGACATCTTGGAAAAATAGGCTTATTTAAACCCTTTCCTTGATTTTGCAAACTAAAACATCCCTACATACTACTACTCATGCACATTTCACCATGATTAATGTCTTTAAAGGTTATTTTCCTATCACATGACTCTAAAATGCAAGCCAATTGCTGTATTCATGCTCCTAAAAAAATGTTCTTAAGCTGGAATAAAAACTAGCTGTGTTGCATTGACTGTATGGCTGATTTTTGGTCTTTATACACCAACTTTAGAACTTAACACTACTATTTTAAAAAATCATAAAGGAATGTTAAACGTCAGGATTAAGTAACCAATGTTACAATCTTACTTGGTTTTTACTGCAGAATGGCTTTGAAAGTAAAATAATGCATGTATCAAATAACACCAGGTGCTTTAAAACCAAATTAAATTGACTACATAGAAATGTATTGGGAGAAAAGTGGAAGAATACATTTAAAAGAACTTACCTCAGAGAAACGATCAAAATTAGACATGTCTTCATCTGAATCATCTTCCCAGTCTTTCCAATTATTGAAGTCCACACTAAGCCAATTAAGCTATAGACCAATACAAACATCACCCTGTGATTAGGTTAACTTGCACTCACTGGCATGTAACTTAGAACTACATTTCTTGAACTGTGGGCTCATACTCACTAGTGAAGCATGGAATTAGCACAAAAAAAGTAGACTGGAAAATGAGAGTGAAGTCAAATGCAACAATGGTAAATACAGTTTCATGAAGCTTCTTTCACAGCTGTTAAACAAACCTACTTTTTAAAAACAACCAAAATTCACTGGTAGGAACTATTCTCAGATTATTTGAGTAACTTATTTTTGGGGGGGTAAGCACTGAAATATACTCCCACGTGATACCTGAGTAATTTATGAAGGCTTCTAAAGCAAAGTCTGCCTCTTGAATGCAAAAGATTCTGCATCAACAAATGACTGATCTTACTCTGACCACACTTGGTTTTAAGTTAAAACTAATAAATCTCAAAGTAAAGAAAAATATACAGAACACCAAGGCTTTAATACTACTACGCTATAAACAAAAATACCATATTCCTCATACCAAACAAATATATCTTTTATTACTTAAAATAAAAATATTAAACTTCAAAAAAAGTAAGAAACCTACCTTTGCCCTTTCTTTTGTTAACCTTGGCCATGACTGGCCAGATTCTCCTTTTCGTAAACAACATAAAATTGATCTGTCCGTTCTTTTATGCTTGGAATCCTAAAAACGAAAACAAAGCACCACTTCACTATTTAACCTCTCCAGTATCACTATGGGTTAGAAAGTAGCTTATCATTTCTCACCGCTCCATTCTCTGCCTACACTTTCTCTAAACTCAAACAACATCCCCTAGACTAAAAATTCCATAAGCTATTCAATTGTAAAAAAAAGAAGAAGAAAGAAAGAAAAAAAGACCATTCTTCCTCCCTGCACAAGGCGAATAAAACCTTCAAAAAAAATTAACTAAACACAATGCAATAGTAGAACAGTTTAACAATTCCATACTTAGGTAAGACAAGCCTCAAGAGTACTGCCCTCAGTCCAAACAGTGATAACAAGAACAAAAACAGACTTGGAAAAGTAGTTAGGAGGAGGAAAATATTGCAAAATATGCCTAGTTAGCCTCTGAACTGTTAAGAAAAACAGAATTAGTGCCTATTGCTAAAGAGTATTTAAGAGTATGCCCATTTCCTCATGATTTAAACAGGGATTAAAGCATCAAGACTACTTACATTTGGATCAATACTGTGAAAAAGATCAATTTCATTTAAATGTTTAAAATTATCACTTCCTCCAAGACAACTGTATTAAAAAAAAAGGAAAAAAAGGAATGAGCCTCTTCAAAGAGGTAAAGATTAGTAATAACTTCAGTGAAAACACAAAACAAGCAAACCAAAGCTATTGCTGTCTGAAACAAGCTTTTTACCCCATGATGTAAAATGGTAATTTACCTGAATGTAAGTTTGGATTTTTCAAAATTTACATTAACGTCTTTACTGTCTTCAACACAAAATTCAATGAAGACATAGTCCCTTCGATCATACCACTTTGCAGAAGCAGGCTGCCTACAAAGAGATAAAATTAGACAAAGTTAAGCTGGAATTCATTAAGTGAATATTTACATAACCTCCAAAGTCTAGCACATAAGTAATATATTTCTCTACTCCACTAGACCATTGATTATCTTGAGGCAGTTCCAAACAGAAACTACATTTTTACTCCAACAGCTGCATTCAAAATTAAAACACAATGATACTCATTTCAAAATAGGAAAGATTTAAAAAACAAAAACAATACTCAATAGAGTTAGCCCTTTAGGTAGCCCTGCCAAAATTTATGCGCTACTCCTTTAGAGTCCTGCTCCTAAAATTTAACTTGACAGACTTAAAAAAATCAGACAGAAGTAATCCACTGTCAACCGAAATACAGTATTCAACATTTCTACTTACAATGCTAGAAACGGGGGGTGGGGGGAGAATTAAAAAGTACGAGAAATGACAGTATTTGTCCTCAGAAAAGTCTCATCTGCAGCTTATTTCTGACTATATAAAAAGCAACCTTTTTGTTTTCTGCACAACCAAATCCTAACAAAATGCTATGATTCTAAATAATGACATTAGATAAAGAATTAAACTTCTTCCTTTTTTTTTGTTGGAGGAAGATTAGCCCTGAGCTAACTGCTGCCAATCTTCCTCTTTTTGCTGAGGAAGCCTGGCCCTGAGCTAACATCCATGCCCATCTTCCTCTACTTTAAATATGGGACGCCTACCACAGCATGGCTTTTGCCAAGCGGTGCCATGTCCGCACCCGGGATCTGAACCGGCAAACTCCGGGCCTGTGAGAAGCGCAGAACGTGCGAACTTAACTGCCATGCCACCGGACCGGCCCCAGAATTAAACTTCTTTACAGCCTCATCTTTTACCCTATCTATACATGTATCCAATATATACTATACCAGAAGCATCCTGCAGTATTTGCTCTTTCCTTATTATTCATCTGCTCCCGTTCCCTGCCAATATAGCCCAGTCATCTTCATAGTGTCAGTAAAGCTCTACCCATCCATTAAGTTTTAGAACATGGCTAAAAGACTGCTAGAAGCAAATACAGTCAAACATGGTTAATAGGTGATAAAGATCATATATGGTAAATACTTGAAAAATTTTCTTTGTAATCCTCAGACAAGTTAGACAAGTATTTGCATATGCACAACAATTCCTAGAAGAATTCTCACACACACACACACACACACACACATTAATTAACAGCTAAAGAACGAGCCAGAAAGATGACCAGGGAAAGGAAATAGAACTACATCTTTCAACTGTTTCAATTATTTTTTTTAAATAAGCCTGTGCTGCTTTAATAACCTAAAAATTAAAGTTACTGTCTATACAGGAATTCTTTGTATTTTTTGCAACTTTTCTATGACCCTAAGATTTCAAAATAAAAGTAAAAAAATATTAGTTATATGTTCAAACACTACTCATGAATCGACTCAAGTGCAAGGAATTGTCTTGTTTCCAAGCTCTGAAATCCCCAACCTTAAGGAGTAGCAGTTTAAAGTCCCTTCTATAAATAAAAAGTTGTAGCCAACTGCTCAACATTTTCACACAACTGTTCAACTTTACTAGTCATGCTCCACTCTGGAACACTGATATCAGATCCAAAGTAGGCTAGAAATTATAAATGGCAATTTCTAAAGTCTAAATACCAGCAAATCAGCAAGCGTAAACCCATTTCTTTACACATCTACTGGCAGATTTAAAAAAAGAACAGAAAGACAACAGGATTTTTAAATGCCTCTGAAAAAGACATCTAACCAAACTTCTGTGGACTGAGAAATCACAACTTCTAATATAAGAATGTCAATACAGCTAATAAACAATTTAGGAGTTTTATAAATAGGTCACAACAGAACACACATTATTTCTAGCTCATTTTCTTGCCAAAACAGTACTCTCAATACGTGGTAACATGTTCTGCCTTTAACTGAAAATATTTGGTAACTTAATAGATAATTAAGACTTTAAATGACTAGGTTCACAGATTTTCAAATTCAAGTGACCAGATAGCCCTACTTTTTAAAAGTAATAATGATTACCATGTGGGGCAATGAACACCCCAGTGCCAAAATACTATTTCCAACTAAAATGAACCAGAATTTCTACAGAGAAATGGCTGACCTCAGGCCTGAGGTGGGAAACATAGATTAGATTGGGACATCTTGTTGTGCAAGTGAAGCTATTAAAGAGAATGAGGTCAGCCAAAACAGGAGGTAACAATTAGGATCGCTCCCCTTGGCCAAGGACAACTTGAGCATCATAAAGAATGACTGCAAATTGATTCGAAAATATTGAATATAAAAACTCTTTGTATTGATTAAAAGAATTTAAAGAAAAACTACCCACAATTCTGGATCACGAGAAGATGCTACAGCTCCAATTCTTTACAAATTGGCAATGAAAGAGAAAAAATTGGGCATTTTTCCTTCTTTTCCTTTATGACCCTTTATTTATAACTAAATAGGACCAGTTCATGAAGGAAACTTCTTTACAGAATTCAAGCTTTGGTGTGGAATAGAACATGGGGGAAAAATTGACATTTTGCAACCCTTAAACTGACTTGGCAGTGACCATCAATGGTGAACCCACTAACAATTAAATGAACAGCTGATAAAGAACTTACAATCTTAGTATCACTAAAATCGAGACAATCAGACATATACCTCCCAATTTGATGCAACATGATATATTCCACAGTAAACTTAATTCCAGTCCACAGGAAATATGAGGAAAAGGAAGAAGTTAAATGATACCCTGAGAAAGTGATAAATGCAGAATACCATTTCTTAAAATCAATGGCATAAAGGGGGGAACTGCCCTAGATTAAAAAAGACTTATCAAGGGGCTGGCCCGGTGGCGCTGTGGTTAAGTGCACATGTTCTGCTTCGGCGGCCCAGGGTTCGCTGGTTTGGATCCCAGGTGCGGACATGGCACCGCTTGGCAAGCCATGCTGTGGTAGGCATCCCACATATAAAGCAGGGGAAGATGGGCATGGATGTTAGCTCAGGGTCAGCCTTCCTCAGCAAAAAGAGGAGGACTGGCAGAAGTTAGCTCAGGGCTAATCTTCCTGAAGGAATAAAAAGACTTATCAAACAAATGCAATTTATGAACCTAATCTGCTTCTCAACTCAAAAAACTAAATATAAAGATTCTGAAACTGTGCGTGGGCTGGCCCTGTGGCTCAGTGGTTAAGTTCGTGCGTTCCGCTCCAGTGGCCTAGGGTTTGGCGGTTCGGATCCCGGGCACGGACCTACACACCGCTCATCAAGCCACGCTGTGGTGGCATCCCATATAGAGGAACTAGAATGACTTACAACTATGACATACAACTATACACTGAGGCTTTGGGGAGGGGGAAAAAAAGATTACTGAAACCGTGGAAATCTGGATACAGACAGTGTATTACACGATATGGAAATTGTTAGTTTTGTCAAATGTGAAAGGCATTGTTTTGATGAAAAAATGTCCATTCAAGACGAAAACTGAAGTATACTGAGTTTAGTATATATATATATATATACACGTGTGTGTGTGTGTGTGTGTGTTATTTATTTGTGAGGAAGATTATCCCTGAGCTAACATCCATGCAGATCTTCCTCTATTTTGTATGTGGGATGCCTCCACGGCACGGCTTGATGAGCAGTGTGTAGGTCTACACCTGGGGTCTGAACCCTTGAACCCTGGGCAGCCAAAGCAGAGTGCTTGAACTTAACCACTAAGCCACTGGGCTGGCCCTTATCCAGTCTACTTTAAAATGCCTCAAGAAAGAACAAGGAATAGATAAAGCAATGTGGCAAAGGCCTGAAAAGTGCTGAGTCTGGATGATGGGTAGATGAGGATTTATTATATTCATAATATTTAAAAAAAAATAATATTAAATGACTTTGGCATGAAATGCTTTCTTTCTTTGGAGCTACTTAGTCTAATTGTGAAATTGTTATTTAAAAGTTTAAAAAAGCAAGAAAATAAATTTTTCCCATTGAATTAAGAAAACAAAGACTGGGCCGGCCTGGTAGCCCAGCAGTTAAGTGCACACGTTCCGCTTCTTGGCGGCCCGGGGTTCACTGGTTCGGATCCCGGGTGCGGACATGGCACTGCTTGGCAAAAGCCATGCTGTGGCTGGCGTCCCACGTATAAAATAGAGGAAGATGGGCATGGATGTTAGCTCAGGGCCAGTCTTCCTTTAAAAAAAAAAAAAAAAGAAAACAAAACAAAGACTGCACAGCTCACAAAACCTGGCTATGATTGTCCAATTGTCATTTATTCTAAAATCTTGGAAACTGTTGCTTTAATAAAAAGCATTTACTTATTGCCATAGGTTTCCAGACGGTAGATGTTCCTTAAAGAACAACTTTTAATTAACTTAAAAAAAAAATCCATTGGGGCGAAGGGGAGGGTGTAGGTAAGAACAACCCTGTGCTGATACTGACTGAAGCTGAATGGGTACGTGAGCATTCACTGTAGTGGTCTACCTTTTATGTTTGAAAAAATACATAATAAAACTAAGCTACATCAGTTTCTGTTCCTACTAAGGACATTGGAACCAGAAGAGAATCTTTTTTCTTTCCTCAAATTCACATTATAATCTAGAGTTATATCATTGTTATGGAGTCAACTGTGTCGCCCTCAAATTTCTATGCTAAAGTTCTAAATACCCAGTACCTGAGAAAGTTGACTATATTTGCAGAGGATCTTAAATAAAAAAAAAAAGGTGACTGAGCTAAAATGAGTCTTAGGGTGGGCCACAATCCAAATATACCTGGTGTCCTTAAACAGATTAGGACACAGTTACAAAGGGAAGACCTTGTGAAGACACAAGAGAGAATGGTTATCTGCAAGCCAAGGAAAGAGGCCTGGGGGGCAGAGTGGGGTGGGAATCAACCCTGCTGACACCTTGATCTTGGACTTAACACGTTCCAGAACTGAGGAAATAAATTTCTACTGTTTAAGCCACCCAGTCTCTGGTACTTTGTTATGTCAGCCCTAGCAAACTAATAGAATCA